GGGCTTCCCAGGAATGGACAGTAACATCGCCTCACATGCCCCCCCGCCCCCCCCGCCCCCCGTTACAGCAGGGGCCCTAGAGAGTGGGCTGCCTTTTCCCTAACACCCATCGTGCTTGAAGGTAGTTATTGTTGGGAAATAGTTTCTTGCAACAGTAGAGGAAGGAGGGAAGAGGCATGTTGCTACCCATGGCTAAACCGACCTATTGGAGTGAATAAAAGGACTGGAAGATCCCTGGCATTGCATTTCTTTTGAGCTTTTTTCAACTTTTTAAATATATATATATATATATATATATATATATATATATATATATATATTTACTGATTTCAGAGAGGAAGGGAGAGGGAGAGTGAGATAGAAATATCAATGATGAGAGAGAATTATTGATCGGCTGCCTCCTCCACGCCCCATCCTGGGGATCGAGCCCCGAGACCCAGGCATGTGCCCAGACCCGAGAATCAAACAGTGACGTCCTGGTTCATAGGTCCAGGACCACTCAGCCGGGCCTCTATTCGCCTTTTCTCCACAATCACCGTGTATGTGTGTGTTTGGTTGAAAGACAAGGGCGTGCTACCTTGAAAATTTGCTTTCTTCCACAGCCCCGTCTCTCTGCAGCTAAATGCTAATGAACAGCAAATTGTCAAAGGGCAAGGAACTGCAGGAGAACAACGAAGAAGCAAAGGGTCTGAGCGAGACTGAATAATCAGCACCTAGATGACGGACGGGGAGCTGGCAGGATTTCCCTCATGGAGGTGCAGAGCTAGCCCCAGGGGTGTGGGCTAACCTTGTCCTGTCCTTCCTCCCCCATCTCATACCCCCTCAGCACAGGGGCTGGCCTTTCCCCTGTGAGAGGCAGAATCTCCCCTCACCCATGAAGTCTCTGCAGTGCCCAGTTCCAGTAGCCCACAGTGGGCTCGAGGGTGGGGTGGAGAGCTCAGAGCAGAGAGTATAAGACAACGCCTTATCAGTGAAGAGTGATCATTTTGCCAATCACCAAGTGAGAAATTTGTCTGCTCCACTTCAAAAGCCCTAAATTCTCATCCCTCTCCCCCCTTTTTTCTCCCTTCTCTTCCCTTCCCTTCCCTTCCCTCCCTTCCCTTCCCTTCCCTTCCCTTCCCTTCCCTTCCCTTCCCTCCCCTCCCCTCCCCTCCCTCCCTCCCCTCCCCTCCCCTCCCCTCCCCTTTTTTCCACATAGCATTTTTGTCAGTAACTCTGACAACTTCACCTCAAACTCTATACATAGCTGCTTAGCAAATGTCTTAAATGGAATAAGAGCATTTCTGGTATCTTTAAACCCTGCAGTTTTATTCATAATGGCCCCAAATTGTGAACCACACATATGATCCTCAACAGGAAAATGGAAAACCAGATGAGGTACATCCATACAGGGGAACACTAATCAGGAACGAAAAAGAAAGAACTACAAATACACCCAACAACATGAATGAATCTCAAATGCACTACAGCTGCAAACAAGAGGCCAGACTCAAAATTCTAAAGGAACCCAGGTATATGACATTCTCATGTGGGGACAGAAAACAGATCAGTGGTTGCTGGTGCAAAGGGTTAGGGACGAGGCAACTGCACAGAGGGAGGAGGAAATTTTCTGCACTGTTGGAAGTATTCCATGTCTTGCTTGTGGTGGTGGTTACACCTTTGGTGTATTTGTCAAAACTCATAGAACTATACACTAAAAAGGGTGAATTTACTGTATGTAAATTTCACCTCCATAAATCAGACTTCTAAAAAAGCAGGAGGAAAAGAAAGTATGGCTGGGGCAAGATAAGAGCCTCAGTCAGTTCTTTCCAGTCTTTAGGGAGACTCCACATCCCTGGTACATGTTTGACTCCCACCTTAAATACTTCAGAAGGATGATTTATCTACAAAAGAAATCTTTGCATCACTTTAAAAAGGATCCAGCCCAGTCCACTGCATGGCTCAGTGTTTGAGCATCAACCTATGAACCAGAAGGTCATGGGTTTGATCCCTGGCCAGGGCACATGCCCAGGCTGCAGGCTTGGTCCCCAGTGTGGGACTTACAGGAGGCAGCCAATCAATGATTCTCTCTCATCATTGATGTTTCTATCCCTCTCTCCCTCTCCCATCCTCTCTGAAATCAATAAAAAATATTTAAAAAAATAAATAATAAATAAAAAGGATCCAGTTTCCAAGGTTGGTCTTCTGCATGCTCTTCAGCAATGGTCGCAGCAGACAACCCTGGATATAGCTCAGTGTAAATTTGATACACACACATTCATATTTCACAGTGGGCTGTAGGTAGGGAAGGTGGCATCCGAGGGAGGATTTTTTTTCTATTTCTCCCCCTGAGAGTCCTGAAGCCAGGCAGCAGGCTCTAGGGATTGCTAAGTCACTTTCTTTATTTTATTTTTTAAAAATATATTTTTATTGATTTTAGAGAGGAAGGGAGAGGGAGCGAGAGACAGAAACATCAATGATGAGAGAGAATCACAAATCAGCTGCCTCCTACATGCCCCACACTGGGAAGGGAGCCCTGCAACCCGGGTCATGTGCCCTGACCTGGAATCAAACCATGACCTTCTGGTTCATAGGTCGATATTCAACCACTGAGCCATGCCGACCAGCCAGCTGGGCCATTGCTAAGTCACTTTCAATAATGCTGACACTCACTAAGCAACCTGTTGGTGGAGGATGGAGCATGGGAGACCCAGCTGGCCAGAACCCAGTCAGTCAGGGGAGGCTGGGTTTTGTCCAGCTGGTCCCATGAGGCAAGAGTAAGCCAAGGGCTGACTCTGAAGGAATGAGTTTGCCCCTGAGAGTAGGACTGTATTTCTGAATGGACTATGGGAAAAGCATTTGGTGAAACATTGCCTTTCCTGTATGAGGTCTTATTCAAGCCTCACAACAGTTCTGCAGAAGCTGTTCTTTAACTCTGATTTTTACATCAATCAAACCAGCTGTAGCTTGTGATGTGCACATGGCTACCATGTAGGTGAATGGTAACTGGAAGACAGTGTGTGCTGTGCCAGATAAAACCACACTTCGTACCTGCATTTACAAAAACCATAATCTAGTGGGCATCACAGAGAGCCTGGAAGCATGAACTCCTGGGCTACAGGATGGCTTTGCGGCTTTGCTACCTTCCTCTTCTGCTCAATAAAAATGGTGTGTGTGTGTGTATGTGTGTGTGTGTGTGTGTGTGTGTGTGTGTGTGTGTGTGTGTGTGAGAGAGAGAGAGAGAGAGAGAGAGAGAGAGAGAGATTGTGTGCGATCATTTCTACTCCTGCCCAGAGGTGTTGATATCACTGTTTCTATCTCCAATCAAACCATAGTGGTACTAGAGGGAAAATTAGCGTTAACAGACACCCAATGGTCAGCAGTTTTATCTCACCTTCTTCCCTTGGATTTAAAAAAAAAAAAAATCCACACTAATAAAACACCACCATCAACACAAAAAGAGCCCCCACAAAATATTGTGTTTCCTGTTAGGAACAAAGCACACAGTTTGGTTTTGTCAGTTTCCCTAATTCTCTCATGCCCTTTTAGGAGAGCTTGCTAAGTAAGCTGTGGGAGAACCAAAAGGTGGGAAGGGAAGAAGTGAATCCGCCCTGGGAGAGCTTGGTGGAACAGCAGCGTTGGGGGTGGGGTGGAAAACACTGGGGGCCACCATAGATCTGACCTTACCCCCTGGGTGGCTTTGGGTAAATCAAAGCCCCAGAGGCGGCCAGTCTCCTTCTTTGGAAATGAAATGAAATCGGATACCATGCTCTGAGAGTTCTCTCAGCCTCCATGTCCTCTGGACCTGAATGATCTGAATTCCCTTCTAAGTGTTGCAATGCATACAGTAAACATTTATTGAATGCTTACTACGTGCCAGGCACCATGCAAACTCTGGAGATAGAAGGATGAACACACATTTCCACCTTTAAACTGTTCGGACCAATGAGGAAGAGTCCTGACAACAAGCAACGGGAGCAAGTGCTGGAGCAGATCAAGTGCACGAAGAGAAATGTTCCTTCCTTTGGGGGAAAGGGTTGTTGGGAGGATTCAGTAAATGAATTCTAGGACCCTCGGACCCCCCCAACCCCCCCCCCCCCACTTTTGCCGCATTTACTATTCTTTTTCTGGACCTCATCGCGCGCACACACACTCGCGGTGACCAGACTTGGGGCAGGAAATGTAGAGTTCATGCAATGACAGGCACACCCGCAACCTACAACCGGCACCCCTGCGTATGGGTCCTGGGTCCCGCAGAGCGCCAATGTGGCCGCGTTCGGGCTGGGAGTCGGGGATGCGGGCTCCAGCGTCCATCTCCACCTGGCCCAGTGACCTCAGGCATGTCCAGCCTCCCACTCTGCCTCCCAGTTTCCCCGTCGATGAAACGTTCCGGTGGTGCTCGAGCGGCTCTAAGCTCCCTTACAGACCTTTAATAACAAGTGAACACATCCCTAAAAGACACCACGATTCAGAGGTGGAAGAGAAGTCAAATCCTTGTTGACAGAACAATGCTGTCTGGGAGCCACACGGGTCTATCCGGGGCTTACACACAGTCGGCCCGGCCGCCCGGTGCACCCGGGCGTCTCCCCGGGGCGGGCCCTCCCGCGGAGGCCACCGGCTCCCGAGCCCCGCGCGCCCGGCCCCGCGCCGCCGCCCGCCGGCGTGATGGATGGCCGCGGAGCCGGCGGCCTGTCAGGCCTTATTGATGAGGTGCGCGCTGACGGCCGCCGCGTAACCCGAGGCGGCAGGAGGCGAGCGCGGGGAGGCGGGCGGGCGCAGACTCGGCGGCGCTCGGGGTCAGCCCCGGCCGGCCGCCCCCGCCCCGGCGGCGCGCCCGGGCCGGGCTCCGCGGAGGGGGCGGCGGGCGCGGAAGCGCGGCCCCGCTTCCTCTCCGCGGGCGCCTCGCTCCCCGCCCCCGGCGCCCCTGCCCTCGCGGCCGCGGCCGCAGCCCGGTCCCGGTGCCGTCGCTCCCTCGCGGAGCCCCCTCTCCCGCTCGCCCGCGCCCGCAACTCCGCTCTTACCCGGGCGCCCGGGGCCGTGCCAGCTTCCAGGCCGCGGCGGCCGCCCGCGCTCCCCCGCGGGTCCGGGCGCGCCCTTGAGGCGGGATCCGCGGCCGCTAACGTAGCCGAGGCAGCGCAGTTTGGACGGAGGACGGCCGGTTTCACGGAATCGCTCCCGCGAGACGTGCGAGGAGGAAAGTCAGGACGCCGGTGAATGCGCCACCGAGCTCATTAGAATGTTAGAACAGCGACCGATAAGCTAAGTAGGTCCACAAAAGTAAATACACCTTCAGGGAAAGACGGCAAGTTTCCAGCGTGCTCCCCCCTCCCGTTTTGTGCAGTTTTAATTTTCGAATTGAGCAAGAATTCTTTCATAAGAGCGAAGACGCCTGCTCTGTTTGAAAATATAGGATCGCGCTGAGCTCGGTCTACACCTGCCCTCTGGCTTTCTCCAGTTCGCCTCCCTCCATCTTGTGTTTGTCCCCTTTTCCTTCCCGTGGCCCTTCCAGCAGGAGAAGGAAGGCTGCCACGCCAGTATGCCAGCGCCTGACCGACTGCAGGTTGCCTTAGCTCCTCTCTGCCTTTCTCGTGAAACCCCCCACGGCCACCTTCTCTGTTGGCGACACTAATGTCAGGATCACGAACCTATTACCTGCAAAGCATTCTCAGTTCATGAGGAGTCAAGGTGTAAGTCAACGCTGGTGACAACTTAATTCAGACCTTTAAGGGGCTCACGTTTTGGGTCCCTCCCCTACTTTGAGTCCAGGCCTAGCCCGGCAGGTAAAGGGCCCTAGTTCTACATTAGGTGTGACCTAAGAACTGGAGAACAGGGAGTCTTTTCTCTGGAGCAGAATAGAGAGAAGGCAGGGAAAGATGCCAGGTTGGTGTGTCCAGGACACTCACTATACAAGGAGGGTCAGGGTCTAGGCAGCAGGTGAGGATGATGCAAGCGCATTGATCTGGGAATCAGGAGTCCTGGGTTCTAATCTCGACTCTGCCACCACAGGCAAATCACCTAACTTCTTAAGCTTTAGTTCCTGCCTGTATGATGAAGAGACTGGATCCCTTCCTACATCGACATTTTGTGACTTTAAGGTTTCCCAAATGGATATCACCAAATCCTGCCAGTCTATACCCCAGATGATTCTATACCAAGGGGCTTCTTCCTGGTCCTGTACACTGGAAGCCCAGGACTGCCAGGCCTCTAAGTCTGAACCAAATCATAGCCCTAGTGAGGAACCAAAAATGTTAGGCCAGTCGGAATGTGTATGCTAAAAGCTTAGACTGCAGATAAAAATTTCAATCCATTTTCTAGGCAAACAGTTATTAACAGGTAACCCTGGGCACTTAGGATATGCAAGACATGGTGACAAGTGCATTGCATGGATTATCTTATTTATCTACAAAATTACTCTATGTCCCCCACTTTACAGATGAAGAAACTGAGGCACAAAACTATTAAATAATTTGCCCCACTTTCTAGGTGGCAGAGTCAAGATTTACAGGTAGTTTGATTCCAGAACCCAAATACTGCCACTGGTACTGTGAGGAATATAAGAGGGGAAAACAAGGACTTTCTTCTTACATATCCTCCTGTGTGTGTGTGTGTGTGTGTGTGTGTGTGTGTGTGTGTGCTTTGTTAATCTTCACTCAAGGATATTTTTCCATTGATTTTTAGGGAAAGTGGAAGAAAGAGGGAAAGACAGAAAGAAACATCGATGTGAGAGAAACACATCAATCCGTTGCCTCTTGCAACCCTTGACCAGAATTGAACCTGGGACCTGTTGGTTTGCAAGCTGACACTCTATCCACTGAGCCAAAATGGCTAAGGCACATGTCCTCCTTTTTTAAAAAAGTCCTTTTTATTTTTTAAACTTCCATTCCCACAATCAATCCCTTTCCCCACTCTGATTCCATAGCCTTTAACACCTTATATTTACGTATATTATCCACATGTCTGCCTGTCTACATACCCCTCTCTCCCAAATTTCAATCCTCTTAAGTGAACAAATCCCATGTTTGGTATTGTGTTTTCCATAGTTTCTAACATATAGTAGATGTTTTTAAAAGTTTGTTGAACTCAGAAAATTGGAGTTTCCAACTTGTGCTTATACGGTGTAAATCTGTCCTTTATGACTGAAGATGTAGTACCAGGCATGTGGCTGAAATACACGTGCCGTGGTCTCTTCCACTGTGTGCAAACAGAGAGAAGCTCACGTGCAGAAGATGCCACGTGATGTCTCACTAGTACCTTAGCTTGTGTGCCTCTGTTGGTGGGGTGACCATAACCCCAGGTACCTTTGGCCCACATATCAGTCAGCCTCTCCCTGACAATGACACCCAGAAAGGGCTACCGATTTATCTGGAGTCACACAGCTATTCAATGGCAGGGCTGGGAGTGGGTGCCCTGGGACCCTAGGTGTACCCTGCTCTTCCAGATCAACATGCTGCTGTAGGAAGTGATATCGCTGTCTATAAATCTGCATCCCAAGGCCAAGCTTCCCTCACCCTGATGCAATCACCAGGGGCAGAGGATTAGCGATAAGCCAGCAGTGAACTCTGAAGTAGTCTGGGAACCTGGTTACCGCTGCTGCCCCCACTCTCTGCAGGAAGATGGAAACAGTGACCCTGGCTCAGCCCTGGGGTGGGGGTGGGTGGCGGTATGAGGATGCAGTTCCAAGGAGTCATAGACATTCAAAACTGTCATTTCACGTCCCTCATAGACCATCTAAAAGGGGCACTCAGTACATATTACATTTCTAGACTCTTCCAACCTTTCTGAGGACTCAAATATCTAGCCTTCAAAATAAAGAAAATAAGGCAACAAAGTGTGTGTGTGTGTGTGTGTGTGTGTGTGTGTGTGTGTGTGTGTGTGGAGGGGTGCATAATGGGCAGGGTTCTGAACTTGGTCCTTGTTCTGACTCATTGTTTCCTAGGGTGATCATATGTCCACTTTATGCCTGCTGTCCTGTGTCCTGTGTGAGTATTAGTACACACATTCACTCATAGTTTCACATAAGTTAAATGGTCATTCTTTGTCACTTGAACTCTTTGAGCCTTGGTTTCCTCATCTACAAAGGAAAGGGTTTTGAGTAAATATCTTTCAAGTTTTCTTTTCACTGGAAAATGCTTCAATTTTATGAATGTGGGACTCATGGAGGAACTTCTTTTCTCTGAGCAGCTGAGAGCAAAGTCATTTATGGTTTTGTGACTGCTCTGTTATTGACATTGGACTTTGGGCCTCAGATTTGATTAAAATAATAATAACAACAATAATAAAATAAACAGCTCTTCTGAATAACACATGAGAATTTATTAGAGCTCACCTCCCAAATCAGCAAATCATCTGTTAATTTTGTTCATTTTTGGTATATGCTACAAATGGTATAACTGCCATTGGCATCCGAATACTCCCCCTCCCACCTCCCCACCAGTTTGCTTGTATTTAACATCTAAATGAAGGATTGGGTTCTTAATTAGGGCCATCAATTCACTGTCCAGTTTTTATCCCCCCTCCTGCCTGTGACATTTTCTAACCTCATTCACAAGATAAAGAAACGTTGTTGGGGACAAGGTTGTGGCAAGGCCACCTCCTCAGTGAGCTCCTTGTTGTGGCTACTGCAGCAGTCAGGCAGTCTCCCCTTTCCTCCTGTTCCCAAGCACACATTCCCTTTACACTGGATGACTATGCCAGGTTCCAGTGTGTGTGTGTGTGTGTGTGTGTGTGTGTGTGTGTGTGTGTGTGTGTGTGTGTGTGTGTGTGTGTGTGTACTCTATTCTGTCACTTTGTTAAGCTTTAAAAAATCCTTGATAGCTAGGATGATATTTAATAATTCTCCATATTCCCCACAATACCCTGCACACAGTAGGTGCTCAGTACATACTCAAAAGAATGAATTAATAATTGAATAAATCTGGAGGCCAAATATGGAATTCTGTGTAAGAAATGTGCCTATTTATAAAATGCAAATAGTTTTCCTGAATATCTTTCTCTTTTTTTTCCACCGTTCAGAAGATCTCAGGCACAGCCACATTCTAAATGTGTGCCTTTGTAGGCCACTTGGTTTTCACTGTTTTGATCTCATGGGGGTGGTGGTGGTGGGGGGGGTCCTTAAACTGCTATTTGTGTCCCTTTATAACTTGCACCTTGGAGAGCCTGGATGATAAATGAGAGATGAATAATTCCTTATTGCTACTTATCTGCTGAATCTATAAACTAGTGTCAGCATTTACTCAGTTGGGTTTAAAGCTGTGCCTGGTATACTTATTAACCTGCTTAAAATAAGCCATAAAAATGGGCTTGGTAGGCAGTTGTTTTAACTAATTTTTAAAAATGACACTGGTCATTTCCCACTAACCCATGGGGTGACCTTTGGCAAATCACTTAACCTTCCTGAGCCCCACCTGCAAAATGAAAGGGGCGGGGCTAGATCAGCTTTAAGAGGCTCGTGGCCCTGTCATTCCTTAATTCCATGATTTTCAGATGACTGAAATAAAGGATCCTAATAATACCTATTAAAGCAATGACAAACCAGTTGTATAGACTATCTCATGAGTCCTTGGAGGGTGAGGGAAGCAGTGTGTGGTAGTCAGAGCAGGGCTTTGAATTTTATTCTTTTACTAGTGGTGTGACCTGTGGCCAGAGGACATCTCTGAGTGTCAGTTTCCTCATCTATAAAATGGACATGATACTCTAATACTCACACTGATTACCCCAGAGACCAATCAAATGTGAGGATCAGAGGGAAAATATATGGAAAAGAACTTTGAGAAATGCTTTTCATGGTCCTCAATTTATAGATGAGGGCATTGATTGAAGTACTCTTTGGTTAATCAATTTGTAGCAGGCTTGTTTGACTTCTCTGATTCTATCTTGATTATATGTGGAAATCATTTAAAAAAACTATATAAAGATCGAGCACTTAAGATGCTTTTCTGAGGTCTATGGGTGTTCAAGAAAAATCTGTGCCTGATGAGACATTTCTGGCATGCTCAATGGCACAGTGATAAGAAAATTAGTCAATATCTTCCCGGCCCACAGACCTAGGAACTCCTAACTAGATAGAAAACAAAGCATTTTTCGAAGGCTTTGGAAATGCACACCCTACCCAGCTCCAACTTTCCTCACTTCTCATACTCCTTGTTTTGGGATG